ATCCTATTTTAAGAAATCCTGGTTCCTCTACTAAGTGGAGTGGTAGTCAAGTACATAATCAAAATTTATTCTCCTGGCCCTTATGATTCAAGTGAATGATTTTCAAACGAGAAGCGAATTTAATTTCTTAATTTTATGTTTTAATAGGTTCCTGAACAGGGCCGCTTTGGTCACGGAAGGAGATAAGAAACAGGACGGCCTCATTGCTGAGCCTTGGAAACTATGTACAGTGCAACAAGTGGAAGATCTCAAAATCTTGATAAAGCTTTTCCCACTATGGACTACTGGTTTGTTTCTCTATACCCCATTAGTCATACAAGCCAGTTTAGCAATCCTCCAAGCTCTAAAAATGGACCGACGTTTCGGATCCCATTTCAAAATCCCAGCTGGTTCTGTTGTTGTCTTTACATTGATCTCCACATGCATAACCATTACCTTCACGGACCGAGTCCTATTCCCTTTGTTGAATAGATGCATTCGCACCTCTCTAACACCACTTCGACGGGTTGGGATAGGCCACTTGCTAACAGTCGTTAGCATGGCCTTATCCGCCCTGGTCGAGTCAAAGAGGATAAAAATAGTGAAATCTCACCATCAAAACATTGTGGTGGCGCCAATGTCCGTGTTCTGGTTGGCGCCACAGCTAGCAATTACAGGCATCGGGCTAGCTTTTCATTCTCCAGGATATGCAGGGTTTTATTACCAAGAATTTCCAGCGTCCCTGAAGAGCACGTCCACGGCGGTCGTGGCAGTTTTTGTCGGCGCAGCATTTTATTTAGGGAATGGGGTGATGGACTTGGTTCAAAGCGTGACAGGATGGTTGCCGGAGAATATTGATAATGGTAGGTTGGATAATGTTTTCTGCGTGATATGTGTTTTAGGAGCTGCAAATTTTGTGTATTACCTAGTATGTGCTTCGTTTTACAAGTATAAAAATGTTGACCAGGAACCAAATGATTGTATTGACAAAATAGATAGCAATTAGCACAAATGAAGTAGGCCTGGATTCATGTAAAATTGAACAACCAGTGATTCTCAGTTCATGACCCTTTAAGGTATAAACAATCAGATATTGCATTTGTACCACTTTGGTATCAATATTTTAGCGAGCATAACAGAGTAATTGGAAAACAAAAAGGTCAAAATAATGTGCATAAAGGGTTGATTTTATCCACAATATTGACTTATTGTGCGCCGATGATGACTAGTTTTACTTGTCGAGGTACGAGAAAGTGTCATAATTTGAAATTATCCATCTCCTCGCGTTGAAACTTCAATTTGCTTCTAGTTTCTCATGCTAAGCTTGTATTGGAATTCCTAAAAGGGAAAATGTTCAAATTTGCCTTTTATACTACCTGAAGTTATTCAATTATTCCAGTTAGTTTTTTTGTGCATACTTTTGTTGTTAGCAAATCATTTTTGCATTTGCCTTTATCATTGACGGTGGTTCATGAGTCACTCAGCTTTGCCCGTTACCTATAAGGTCATAAACTGCTTTTGTAACATTAAAATCTCTGAATTGTGCGTTAACTTCTCATAAAATACGATTCACCAGAAAATTAAATTTTCAATATTAAAAATTCTATTCTTCCAGCCACATGTGTAGAATTAACCTTCATTTGAGCGATCATCTATCTACATTTTCGTGCCAACACTTCCTGAATTAATTTACCTGCCTTAACTTTTTAAGCAAATCACATTAATTTATCGTTGTTAAATAATAAAAAATGTAGGGACATTCACCAACTGATCTTGGTTAAGTGAGACAAAGGAATATAAGAAGGCACATGTTGTACATTTAATGATTTAATGTGAATATCAAGGTATGAGTTATAAGTTCCACTAGGAACTAGGAAGGCAGATATGTGTTTACTTCAAGGTTTCTGCTATCATTTCTTTCAAAAAAAAACAACATGAAATAACATCTTCCGTGCCTTTATTCGTCAGCTTAAAAACACGAGCAGAAAATTTACCAAATGGAGACCGCTAGACAAATCAACAAGGTGAAATGTCGATTCTAAGTTGTAGCTGTTTGTGATGCCTTTTTCAGATTGTTTTCTTTAATTTGAAGATGAAAATACCATTATAGCTGTCACAAGTCACTTTCTAGTGATTAATTTGGTTAAAATAACCAAAGAACCAGCAGGTGAAGGCAATTTAAACTTGATCAACGATCAAATAGTTAAAAATCATGCTTTTCCGGTTCGAAATACGAGTATCTTTTGGTTTGAAATACTATATCAAACAGGTAAATTACCTATCAACAAATGAGATGACAGGTTTTTCATCTTGCTTAGAATAATACCATTTAATTAAAGTTGGATATTTTAATTAAGCTTGATCCCTTTTTTTTCTTCCCTGGAAAAAATTCTTGATTCCCTCAAAATTCTTGTAATTAATATTTCTTTATTCTTTTCTAACCATAAAAAACCCAATTCATGTGTGATATTAAATACTTAAATCTCATTTAAAATAAATAATAACAATTTCTAATTTAAACACAAACGGTCGAATTTACTTTACATGAACGTAACAAAGACAAAAGAGCTAACTAAATGAACAGTGTGGCCTATAAATGAGTGACCTGGGGTGAAGCAGTCTTGCAGAAAGTTGCCTACTTATAAAAACTTGAACTCCATATCCAAAAAGAACAAACATCACTGCTATCAATTTGACTAATTTCAATGGATAATTCAGCTAGTTCTGATGACGAAAGAGCAAGACTTTCCTCTTCAGATTGCCGCAAAAATGGTGGCTGGATAACCTTCCCCTTTATCATAGGTCTGTTTCTTTTTTTGGTCTTTCTTAACACTTTACTGTTAGTTGTTAGATGCATTTTGGTCCTGTTTTATCCTGTCATAAAAATACCAATGTCCGCGCTGCTAAAGTATATAATGTGGTGAATGGCTGCATCACCATTTTCCCCATTCTCTCAGGAATCAGTGCTGACTCCATTCTTGGCTGTTTTTCTGTCATTTGGATTTCTTCTCTTATCTCTGCTCTGTTAAAACTAATTCCTTTTCATTAGATTCCATCTTCTTGGCTTCCAAAACTTATTAAACACAAACACACACACACACCAAAAAAAAAAATTAAAGGGCAGCCCGGTGCACAAGACATCTCGCATTCACGCAGGGTCCGGGGAAGGGTCACATGCTAAGGAATAGTGTTAAACACACACACACAAAAGGGTCCAACTTCTATACGGATAGTATAAGAACTTTTACACGATCATGTAACCATCAATAAAAACGGGATTAATAACCTAGAAACAAGGCAGGATACCAGCTACTAGGGGTTAAAATATATGCTTAGTGTAAAATTTCTTTGCAATTTCAGGGTATATTGCTTCTAGTATTCACAGCAGCCATTGAAAAATTAAGACCTGCGGTATGTGATGATAGCTCCAGTACCTGTACAAACCCATCAACAACTCAATATGCAGTGTTATAAATTGCTCTTGCACTAGCATCTCTAGGAGCTGCAGGTACACGTTTTACTATTGGATCCATGGGAACATATCAGTTTGACAAGCCAAAACACCAAGGAATTTTCTTTAATTGGTACACATTCACCTTATACGCATCCATTGTTGTAAGCTCCACAGCCATTGTCTACATTGAGGACAATATTAGTTGGACCTGGGGTTTTGCCATCTCTTTAGGTCTTAACATCCTCGCCTTAGCCATTTTTCTATGTGGGATACGTTTGTATCGCCATGTTAAGGAACAAGAAGGCAGCCCTTTTATCAATATGGATCGTGTCGTTGTCGCAGCCATTCAGAAACGGAAAATCCCCCTGTTTGAGCAAAGTCACCGTTACTATCATGATCCAAGTGATAAACACAAAAATATGGTCTCTCCTACTCCTACCTTCAAGTAAAATCTCTATATTAATTCTTTCTTGTGGTTGAGCTACTACTCATGCTCAAGGGCGGATCTAGGACGGGTTATGTGGATTCAACTGAACTTATTACTTTTAATTCGAACTATGTATACATATAATAAGATCACAATTATCCTGAATCCACTGACCCTGACTCTTAGATTCGCCTCTGGTCATACTCATTTGCTAATGAAGCTCTCTTATATAGGTTCCTCAACCGAGCAGCCTTCATTACTGTGGGAGACATTAAAGCAGATGGCTCCATTGAGAATACCTGGAGACTATGTACAATCCAACAAGTAGAAGATTTGAAAAGCTTGCTCCTTTGTGGGGTAGTGGATTATTTTTATCCACTCCTCTGATCATTCAGTCAAGCCTGTTAGTACTCCAGGCTCTAAAGATGGATCGTCAGGTGGGACACCATTTCAAAATCCCAGCAGGTTCTATGTCAGTCTGTGTTTATATGGACTGCTATATCAATACCCTTCATTGACAGATTGCCCTACCCTTTTCTAGCTAAATGCTCCCCATTTTCTCTTACACCTCTTCGGCGCATTGGGATTAGGCAATGTACTAACGATTCTTAGCATGGCCATCTCTGCCTTGGTGGAGTCAAGGCGGCTGAGGCTCGTGAAATCCCACCATCTCCAAGGCCAAAATGGTGCCATTATTCCAATGTCAGTCCTCTGGCTAGTGCCACAGCTAGCCTTTAATGGTATTGGAGAAGGATTTTCCGGGACATCTCGGGTTTACTACCAAGAGTTTCCTGCATCCTTGAAAAGCACCTCAACTGCAGTAGTTGCAATGTTCATTGGTATCGGGTTCTACATCGGGAATACTCTGATTGATCTGGTTCAGAGAACAACGAGATGGTTGCCAGACAATATCAATGATGGAAGAATGGATAACGTCTTCTGGCTCTGTTGTTTCCTGGGATCAGCAAATTTCATGTATTACCTCGTGTTTGCCTCCTTCTACAAGTATAAAAATATAGGTGACAAACCAAATGATGCGCCCAGTAAATGATACTTATTAGTACAATTCAAGAAGCATGGATTTGATAAGCTCCGCGGCAGATTTCCATGCTTAGCTTATTGTTTTCAACAAAGATCAACTTTTCATGAATGAGATATTGCTCTTTACATAAAAGAAATAACAAAGGAATCTTTTAAAGTCGGTGTACAAAGAATTACATATAAAGGGTGTAAATCGTGTATTTGGAATAATGTATCAATTAGCAACTTTTCTTGCTAAGCAGTGTTAAGCTAAATCAGAAACATGTTAGTGGTGAATGAAAGAATTTGGATGAGACCAAGTTTAGCCAAACAGGAATCAGGACTCCGGAGGCATATTGTGGTTGAACTTTGTACAGTCAAAAGGCCCAAGTTGATTGTTTTTCTTTTTCACCTGCAAATCAAAGAAAGATAACAGCTTAAGAAACCACAACCATGCAAGATAATGATATGCAACAGCGCTATTTTACCATTTCTACCAGTCAATGGCCCAAGCAATAACTCTTAGATCCCGTTAGGCCAAGCTGCCAAAAACTACTTATTTTGAGAAGTGATTTTGCTCAAAAATGCTTTTTTAAAACGGAAAAGGTCCAAATATGCCCCTGTACTATGTGAAATTGAGCACATTTGCCCTTCGTTAATACTTTAGCTCAAATATACCCTTACCGTCACATAGTTGGTCCATATATGCCCTTAGAGTTACACAGTTGGCTCATATATGCCCTTTTCGAAACGGAATTCACCCAAACTAATTAACTCTTTCGTTAATTGTATTAAAGTGCATTACAAACACTATTTCCTTTTTATTAGTACTTTTTTTCTTTACCTTTCTCTTTTCTCTTTTCTTTTTTCTTTTTTTCCTTTTTCTTTCTCCCTTATCCGATTTCCTCCATTACTGATATCTTCTCCATTTTCGTCACCAATTTCACTTGACAAAACTCATGAATTCCAATTACTAAGAAAATTCTCTCATAAGAATATTTTTATAGATCATATGTTTGTCAATTTTTTAATTTTTACTGAACATATATTTAGTTCTAAAAAATTTAACAAAGTAAGATTGAAATAATATTTATGTAACAAAAAACCCAAAAAAATCCAACAAAACCGAACAATCCAAACCAATATAATTGGTTTGGTTTTGATAAAAACTGAACCATCCCGTTCCATGTATACCACTAATTTACATAGTTAATAAAAAAATAGAAAATGTCCAGAAAAAAGATGAAAAAAGACTAACAACTCAAATTTATAACACTACAACTTGAACTCTAGGCTTTTAATCATTATATTATCTTTCTGAAAACAATTTAAATATTTTGGTCTTTTGAATATTGTTGAAGGCTGAGATGTTTTTATTATTTTACAGTTTAAACCATAATTTTTGGAATAATTTAATTTCGTTTATTTAGAGGCCAGTGAAATTGGAACTTGATTACCTTATGGGAGAATTTCTTAGTAATTGGAATTCATGAGTTTTGTCAAGTAAAATTGGTGACGAAATGGAGAAAACATCAGTAATGGAAGAAACGGATAAAGGAGAAAGAAAAAGGAAAAAAAAAGAGAAGAAAAGAAAAAAGAAGAAAGAAAAGAGAAAGGTAAAGAAAAAAAAGAACTAATAAAAAGGAAATAGTGTTTGTAATACAATTTAATACAATTAACGAAAGAGCTAATTAGTTTGGGTGAATTCCGTTTCAAAAAGAGCATATATGGACCAACTATGTGACGGTAAGGGCATATTTGAGCTAAAGTATTAACGAAGGGCAAATGTGCTCAATTTCGTATAGTACAAGGGCATATTTGGACCTTTGCCCTTTTTAAAAAGTACTTTTGAAAAATTACAATTTGTGTTTGGCTAGTTCATTTGAGAAGAACTTTAATAAGCAAATTGTGTTTGAACAATCTTTTCAAAAAGTACTTTTGAGTGTCAAATTACGAAAAAAGACTGTACATATTCAATTTACAAGTAGCATATTATTTAAAAGAGAAATGAATTTAAATATTTATTATAAAAAATTAATTAATTTTTCTTTTTATTTAATTGGAATATAAAATATAAAGTAAAAATATATATTAAAGATTTTAATCAATATAATAGTTATACAAAGCAACAATATTAGGTATCCGGTATTACTTATTGTTTATATTGATGATTTAAATATATGAAAAAATAGTCATTCAATATAAGTTTAGAATCTACTTCATTAATCCTATATAATAAAAAAAGAGATCTATTTATGGTGGAGAGACTATTTGAAAGAAGAATAGGGGAAGGAGAATAAAAATACAATAGAAATAAAATAAATAAAAAGAAAGGGATGGTAGAAACAAAAAAGAAAAAGGAAAAAATAAAATTTTTGAAGGATAATTTGAAAAATATAAATTTATAGTAAGGATACTTTTGTCTTAAAAATTTTAATTTTCTGCTTCTGCTTCTGCTTCTGCTTCTGCTTTGTAGAAGAAGCTAAAATTTATAACTTCTTCCCAAAAGCAGAAAAATTGCTTCTGCTGCTACTCAAAAGCACTTCTCCATCTTGGCCAAACACATCAAATTTCTAAAAAGTACTTTTTCTGACCAAAAAAAAAATACTTTTGCCCTCCCACAAGCTTGGCCAAACAGGCTCTTATACTCCTAGTAATCAAAATAGAAACATAGTTGGGGAAGTCCTAATAAAAGCTACCATCTTTTACCAGTGGTACTTCAAGCGATGAATTTAGGACATAAATAATGATGGAGGCAGGATTTCCGCTAAGGGGGTCCAAAAAAGAAAAAGTTACAAAATTAAAATAGATTGTGGCCAATAGGAATTGAGCTAGCAACCTCACAAAGGTTTTGAACCCCCTTAACCATTGAGCTATACTTTTGGGTTGTGTTAAGGAGATTCAAAATATAATATATAGATGCACAAAACAGATTTTGCCTTATATGTACAGTGTAACTTTCCGGCAAAGAGGAACCCCCTTCCGGCAAACAAGCTGTAAATCCGCCTCTGATGATGGTTTCTAGTATACACATACCTTCCTAAATCTCTACTCTTGGAACATCCAGAAATAATTAATTTGGTTTTAACATTTTTACAAGATTAAAAAGAATAAATACCACCTAAATAATATTGTTAAAGTTGCAATCAGGATCACAAGTAAAACAAGATATTCCTGATGTCCTCCCAGCATCCGGCTTTTTTTAAATTAAATCTTTAACACTAATGACAAACCCCAGCATTTTTATTAGTTCGGGAACAATTTGAACAACATTATAGCACATAAACCCCATTTATTTTCTAATATCTTTTTTCATGTTAGCTTTGCCAATCATTTTAAAGGCCGAAATAGTGTAGTTCTTTTTTTCTTTTTTCCTTTTTTGGTACTGGCATTTACTGTCAAAAGATGTGTTGAATTGTATAGAAATCTGGACAAATTAATACGTTATATCAAACTTTTAGAGGCAACTTAGTGTGATTTTATTATTTTGTTGTTACTTTTATAGATTTCCTATCAGAGACTACCGCATCACGTCGAGGCTTTGTTTAGTGTAACATTCAGTTATCAAAATATTTTTGGCTGATGACCATTCATTGTGTGATAAGTGTTGTGAAAGGTTAATCATAGTTTTCAAGATCCTACAATCCTATGATTGAGCCCTAACCGGTTAAGGAACTGGATAATGATTTTTCATTTAAAAAGTATTTTTCTACTATAAAGGAAAAATATGCAAGAAAAAAACACTGTTTGCATAATAACATTACTTTATCACTTACATGAAAATATACCGAACAAACGACTATACAATTTATCATTTAGAATTAAGATGCATTTTACTATAGTCATCAAAAAACTTTCTAACAAAAACTTCAAGTGATTAAAACTTCTTCCAGAAAGTACCAAAAGGCATTTCTGTGGGATAGTATGGTGCACTAAGCTCCTATTATGCGTGAGTTCAGGGAATGGCCAAACCACATAGCGTTTATCGTACATAGCCTTACCAAAAGACATTTCTAGTTTTGTAAAATGATTCTCAGCACCATTATCAATTACAAGGTTAAGATTAACTGTTCTCACCCTAATTTGTAGCATATGCCAGAGAAATGTGTTTATCTATAATGAGACAGAATAAAGTTGAATGCATTCTCATTCTAGCTAGTAGAATACATGTTAGATATGGCATAGGCAACCTCAAACAAGAAAACGATAATCTATAAATAGTGACATACCGGAGACCATGGGCTTGGCTCAGGCAAGGATTTCTCTTGGGGTGAATTTTGTACAGCACCACCTTTCATGGTTAAGATATCCTGTAAAATCAGAGTACAAGAGTCGATTACATAACCTGCAGATATTTGATCACCACTGAACGAAGCTCAATCATTTTTCCGATAGAGATTCAGAGCAGTGGAGCTTGACACTCAAGCCAAGTTTGTCTCACTGCCTAACCTAAGGTTCAGAACTAAACTTTAACTGCGTAGCTTTTAGGGAGGTCAAGCTAGCTGACTGCTCTGGACCTATTAGTGGATGATTTAGGCTTTCATTTTATGAATACAGAGGTATGCTCACTAGAGGATATGATGAACAGCTAATATCTTGTCAGTTGTTCTTTAACAGCACCAGCTAAAAGTGAAGGTTTTGGATAAATGTGTGGAAACAAACTGCTCAGGAAAGTGAAGATTATGTCCTGGAACTAATAAAAGTATGCTTCAAATAATTTGGAGATCACAACAGATTCAGGAAATCAAAGCTTAGTTATATTTGGCTTCTTTCAGACAGATCACAGCATACAGCTCATTTTCCAGAAAGAAATTACCTCCCCAGCAGCTTCCATTGCTGCCAACCATTCATCAGAAAATGGAACTGCATCCTGTGGGGGTAATATCAAAATGTTGCCTTTCTTCAGACAGTTCTCTGTATTCTTGCTGCCATCAATAAAATAGCAATTCTATAAAAGATTGTAATTTGTGAAAGGCTAAGTCTAGAAAAACCAGAGGAGTTCTTTGGGGTTAGAAAAATCTTTGAAATACTTACACTGGCAAATTGGTGTTATCATTTCTGCACTGCTCGGTATCTTGCAGTCCATGGCAAAGTTCATTGTGAGAATTCTCACTTCCACTAGGTTTTCCAGTTTCAGATTCCTTCACCACAATATCTTGATTCAATATGTCAACTACCTTTCTTTTGATTCTTGATGAGGTCTGATCCCCTTCAACAAGTTCTATGCAATCATTTGTGACACTTGCTGTATGGATTTTACTTGTCGGTGAATTAAGTTCCAAAGATAAAGATTCAATTGTCGCGGGATATGATAGTCGATCCTCAACACCGTGGATAACATCCAGTTCATTAGCAATGTTGCTGCTCCCATGAATCAAAGGTGACTCCTTGTTCAGAACGCTTGGGCTTTCTAATGCACCTTTATAAAAACTTCTTTGTGCTGGAAGAGCATCTTGAAAATTCTCCAAGGCATTGCTACTTTCGCATTTGATAGGGCCTTTTCCAGGCAACAACTGAGCATCATCGGCATGTAACTCCAGATGTGTATCCTCCATCTGTAAGATATTCGTGAGTGCATTTATTGTCTTTCCAACTTCATTTGCTTGCATTTTATCTCCAAGTTGTGGTGGAGTAGGAAGACTCTCTAAAACAACCTTGTGATACCCCAGTTCTGTTGGACTAGAAGGAATGAAATGCGTATGGCAGCACATTTGCGACTCTTCAACATTCAAGCTTAATGGAGACAGCATACCATGCTTCATCTTGATTATCTGACCACCATCATTAGGCTTGTTAGGTGAATCTCGAATTTCAAATTCATCCATTTCTTCCAAGAGAAACACGTCTTTGATCAGTTTGTTACCTTCACCCATTGGACCAAGTATACCTAATCCAATTACATCTGGTGTTCCCCTGGAAGATGAACCAAATTCCGCAGAGGAAGTTAAATTACCCTCATTTTGACAGTTTGATGCATCGCGAATTTCAGCTTCATCCACCGCTTCCAAGACAGACTCTTTAATTGGTTTTCTACATTCGCCAATTGAACCAGTTACAGCTGATACCATTTCGTTTCTTGTTACACTAGATGATGAACCAAATTCCAGACAGGAAGTTAAATTACCAAGAAACTTATTATTATTAAACTCTTCATCTGTTGGATGATTACAATTTTCAGCTAGAGTAACTTTGCTAGGGCCAAAATATAAGATATCTGCAGGATCTTCTCCTGCTGTAATGTTATTACTCTCCAATTCTGGCTGAGCACTTGTTACATCAAATCTATCAAAACCACGTTCATCTTGTCGATATGGTGGCGCAGATAAACCAGTTTCAGCAATCTGTCCATCTTGGCTTTGATCTATACTCACATGCTTACTAAGGGACCGATCACCTGAATGCAATACATTCCTACCCTGGGACTTATGTTCTGAGTAAATTGAAAGCCCGCCAGGATTAGTCTTGCAATTTTCATCGGATAAAGTTTCACTTGAGACCTCTACTACTAAACCTCCTGTTTGTGCTTTATCAGTGATCTGCTTGGTAAAATCTTGTTTCGGATTCTGACAATCTTCATGCTGAGATGCAACTTCTGAATTTTCCATCTTTTCTTCACTAAAGTCCGAACATGTGAGATTCAAGGACTCACAATTTCCGCTTCGATGTGCTTCATTCAAATTGCTCTTAATCTTCATAATCTGCTTATCGTTATCAAACATCCATTTATCTTCAGCTGCAAAGGACTTGACCTTTTCAAATTCTTTACCAGGTAAATTATTACAGCCTCCTACATAACTGTCCTCCCTCACCTCCCCACTAAAGTTAATCATGTTCCCATACTGTGAATTACAAATTGAACCATCAGTTACTGAACAAATGCCAGATTCTTCTGCTTCATTTGGATTGCTAGTGGCACCTTCCAATCCACATAGAACTAGAGATTGCGCATTGTATCTAGCTTGTGGAAAATAAGCCTCTCTAAAATCTGATCCGGCAGAGCTTTTATTTTCTATAAAACCAGGGATGGAGTTCATGAGATCACCATCTTTGTTAATATGTTCATGTTTTCCAGTTTGTGGTGGATTCTGCTTGCCATTCGTCAGCAATTCTGCATCCTGAAGTTTCTTCTCTTGGTGCTCGATGTGATGCGGTACTTTTTCGTCAACATTATCAGCAGGATTTCTGAGCTTATCACTGACTGGATCAAGCTTCATTATAACACTTGGTATATTCGATCTTTCCACACTGTTTCCTTCCAAGCCTGTTTTGATTACTTTGCAGGATGCTGTTGAGCTTTCTGATTCCAATCCTAGGATCCTACAGTTTAGATTTGCTAAGTTGACCTTGCTTTCTTGTGTTGCTAGTGCCTCTGGTGGCCTCCGATCACCAGATCTTTCCGACAGGCACATACTAGACTCGGCTTTCAACAGGCGACGTGTATCTGAAGCTTTTGTCTGCAATCACCATATTGGTTGTCATGTCTTTAAACAAAATGCTATGTTGTGAGCATCAAGCAGCCTATGCACCTTAAGTTAAAAAAAACTAATGCTTTGCCAGAATAGTGCTGGTAATACCTGACAAAAATATCCTAATGAAGGTGAAGGCATCCGCAGACCCGATGGTTTCATGGCTTGTGCAGGCAGGTATTGCATACTGCTAACAGCAGTAGGAGTGCTTTGAGGAAGACGAAGTGCAACTGGTGTACATCCATCGTGACTTTGAGATGAATGTGCTCGGCTAGATGGTACTGTGGCATCTGGATTCATCTCCAGAGCAGTACTGGTAGCTTTATTAACTGGTGGAGAAGATTCAGTTGATGCATGTAATTTCGATGTTGATTTCTTCTGCATAAATTAGAATTGAGCAAAAAGGAGGGGGCAAGATTGTATGATTCTGTTGGTTAACTACCAAATATATTGAATGTACTCAGAGCTAAATTCTTTAGTATTGTGTTGTGTGAACTTTGAACAGTTCTTTTGAGTTCTTAATCACACCAAATTCTTCTAAAATTTTGAGTTCAAATTTTAATTCTTACGTCATTTCCCCTTAAAAATGTAATAGAAATTAAACCTTGAGCTTAAACTTGAACTGATGCTTACATCATTTCCTCTGAAAATGCATGATGAAGATTTATCCTTTAAAGGTTCAGCATCAGGTTTTGCTTTCTCTTGGCTATTTCTCACTTTTCTAGAAGAGCTCCTTAATCCCGCATTCTTCTGAGTACTAACAGCTGCATGAGAAAGGAAAATGAAAATATAAAGATGATGCTCTTATCTGTGGCGCAAATACAAAAAGTATTTTTGCATAGTAGATTGTTATGCCTTCTAAAAGTTTGACAAGGGTATAACTTGCTTGAGTTATTACAACACACTTTGAAACATCCAGTTTCTATGATTGAAATGGAAACAATTACGCTCAGCAGAAACCAGATGGATAGACAATATATAATAAAGAGATTACCAGAATCAGTCACTTGATGCTTCAAATGACTTGTTCTTGGTATAGTACTCTTAGAACTTGCGGGCAACAAACAAGAACTTGGCTTTGAAACTTGAAACTTCGGTAACTTGGAATCCTTGGTTGCAGATTTTCCGTGATTCATGTTTGCAGGCCTTTTTAGTCTAAAATGACATTAAGGCTCATCATCTGTAAAACCTCCATATATAGCAACAAAAGAAAAAACCAACCACTTCTTGGAAAATAGTTGAATCCCAAATATATCTAACATGTGCAAGGATACGAAGGTGAAGCCAAAGGTCGAGAACAGCCACTAGATTTGGAGACATTTCTACCATTACGAGATGCTAGCATTTTACTTGAGGCCTGAAACCATTCAAGAAAAAACTAAGTAAACAACAAACTGAAATAGGATGAGCATCATCACAAGTCACGGCCAAAGTTTATGAGCCGAAAAGTCGCTTAGTCTTAAGCTGAGATCTGACCTTCCGCTTATCTTCTTTTAAAGCTACAGATCGAATTTCTTTAAGCGTACTCTTTTTGTTCGAGTTCAAATAAGCTGAACTAGCATCAAGTAAGGAGTCATTGGAAGTTGGATTTCGCTCTTCTTCATTGATGGTGAACAAGGGCTCTCCGCATGTGTTAACTAATGTTCCGCTAAGCAGAGAAAGTTCAATTGGATCCAAAACACCTAAACAGAAGAAAGAATAAAGTAGGTTTTTTCTGTAATCAATCCCCTGCAGTATTTAACAAATTGTTCTACATTGATAAAAAGAGATACTAATTGTACTGTAATCATATATACCTTCTTCAGTAGAAAAGGCTCGATCCCATGCTAAACTTTTCCGCAAAATGTAACCACCACCCCTTTTCTTCCTCTTCATATGCAGCGGCTCAATGCTCAGTTTAGGCATTATTTCTGCTTTGTCTGTATTGATATTCTCTTTATTGCTGCAACCTCTACGATAGGAAGAGGAACAGCCAGGTTTTACTGGATCAACACGACCCTCTAGCCCTCCTGCAACATGATGAAATCTGTAAATAATTACTACTACCAATTATACTACTCTATGTATCAATGCAGAAAAAATTGTACTCCCTCCCGTTCACTTTTAGTTGTCACGTTTCGCTTTTCGACGGTCAATTTGAAGCTAACTTGCATTAAATTTTCTTAATATCTTAAAATTATAATTTAAACATTCGGAAACTATATGAAAAATACTATAATTTGTAATTTTTCTCATATCAATACGGTATAAAAATACATATTAAAAACATTGGTCAAAGTTTATGTAGTTTGACTTTCGAAAAGCTAAACGTCACAAGTAAAAGTGAACGGAGGGAGTATTCATGAACAAACTATACTTGATGGAAGTAATTTAAACAGGCTAAAAATGCGGAACCTAATTAACCCTACGAACTCATTATGACCTATTTTTCATAAAATGGAAAAGTTCAGATATAACTAAACAAGACGAAACTTCCGAAATTCTAGAATTTATTTTTTAGGGAATCTCAATTAAAACTTGAAAGACACAAAAATAGAAGAGAAAAAGTGGAAGAACTGACTCAATGGGGAAATGAAATTTGAAAAGGGAGTGAAATCGTTGGGATTGGTATCCTCCATATGAGGGAGTGGGGTAAGTAGAGAATCATCTTCACCGGAGATTTCAAGGAGGCGTAGATCCGACTCCATGTTTCTTCCTTTAATTCAATGCTAGTAATAGTTGAATTTGCTTTATCCCGTACTGAAGAAATCATCAAATCTTGGGTTTATTATTATGTAATGGTTACGAAGGAGGTAAATTTTGTTTGGTTAAGGGAGATGGGGATTTTATTTGTTGGTTTTGAAATTGGGGCAAGCGGGAGGAAGGGGTCCCAAATGTAGGACAAAGGAGACAACTGACACGTGCCAATGCCAAATCTAGGTTTTATTTTCTTTTCTTTCCATCTCTTTGGTTGGTTCAAATATTGACGACAAAGTGATGACTAGTTTAAGTAGAAAATAAGTTGATAGCATTTGAAGAATGGTAGTCCAATTACAACGACAACCCAGTAAAATCTCACTAATGGGGTCTGAGAATGGTAGAGTGTACATAGACCTTACCCATACCCAGAGGGATAGAGAGGCTGTTTCCGGAAGACCCTCGGCTTAGAGACAATAGATCTGTAACAATAACAGAAACTAGAAAAATAGTATCAGTATCGTAAAATCTATATATATCTATAATTGAGGGCCCTAACGTCGTTACGTGGCGCTCCCATTCAATAGGGACTGCAATTATCTTTTTCTATGATTTTTTGCTATTTTCTCTAATTTTTCTATATTTGAGGGCCCTAACATCGTTACTCGGCGCTCCTATTCAATAGGGACTGCAATTATCTTTTTCTATGATTTTTTGCTATTTTCTCTAATTTTTCACTATCAAAAACCAAAAGTCACCCTAAACCAAAAATATACAACGCTTCAAAAATAACTGTTTCTTTTCCGACAGATGCTTTACTCTCTATGTTTCCTTTCCTCCCTCTATCTCAGTATTCATCCTCCTTTATCTTTCTATTTTCCTATTGTTCTTTTCGTTTGCCTTTGTTAAAATTTTCTATACTCTTTCTCCTCCCTCTTTTTTATTCTACACTGCTTTTGCTTCACGTTTGTTGATTTACTTTAGTTCCTCCACTAATCTCTAAACTCTTTCCTCATGGTCAGTTTCAATTTGCGTTTTCCAGTTACTTTCACTTTAATTTTTAATTCCCCTCTGACTTTGATTCACTCCTTTGTCACCATAACAACTGCTTATTTTGACGCCCATGAAGTGTTCGAAAATATGCCCAATACCTTGCCCACCGATTCAGGAAATACTGCAAATTTACTCAACACTTGCCGGTATGTAATCCTTCATTACGGTCATTTCCAATTTGCGTTTACCAGTTACTTTCGCTTTGATTTTTAATTCCGCTATGTCTTGACTCACTCATTTTCCAGCATAACAACTGCTTATGACGCCATGAAGTATTCGAAAATATGCCCTATAGGTTGACCTTGCCCATGGATTCATAAAATGCTGCAAATTTACTCAACATTTGCTGGTATGTAATCCTTTTAAAGTTAATCTTTACCAACTATGCCTTATTTTCATATATTTTCAGCCTTTTAAATGTTAGACCCTTTAAGTTCTAACAATTGAGTTGAGCACATGTTTTATTTTTCTCTTTAGGTTGATAGATGGTAGTTTAAACCAACAAAAGGCCGTGAAAAATTTCAGTTTGGCCTTTCTCCATTCGTATTTGAGGTACGCTCCGGAGATTCTTAACTTATTTGCTTTTTGCGTAAGGGTGTAAAGATTCTAATATAAATAACTTTTTCAAAATTGATAACTGAGGGTGTGTACGATATGGAGTACAAGAATTTTGCTTTACTGATACTTTTAATGGTAAAAGTGTTCGTCAACGATGTCTATAAATGTTGATTGTAGTTTACTGATATGGAGCTTAAACTATATTAGACTGTCATTATAGCCTCAAATATTGGTGTTAAAACTCAAAACATTACGAACTGATTTTCAAAATAAGATCGTCTTGACGTTGACACCGAAACACGTAACTTAGAAGGCTAAAGAAAAAATAAAACTCAAGGTCAGAGAGCGTTAATGGGAGGTTATAAAATTAATACTACTCCAAAATTGCCAAGAACCAAACAAAATTAACATATTTTCCTATAAAACCTTATGATACTGAACTTTTGGTTAATGCCCTCCTCTGTTATGCTAGGTTGATGCCCTCCTCTGTTATGCTGTAATTTTGGTTAGCAATATAAGGACTACGCCTCCTAATGGCGTAAATTATATTAAAAAAAATAAAAAACTTATGATACTGCCTAAATCTATTCTGCTCTACCAAAGTTCTTTCCTTATTTTGATTACAGCAATTTGTTTCAAGAACACGCACTTGAACTAACTTAAAATTTGTGAGAGAATTTGCAATAAGAAACATCTAAAACTTCTATCTAATCACGACACAATTTTATGTGGCATAAATGATTGCTTAATTGCTATACTATAAATTGGTCATTATTTATCTCTAATCAGTAGCACTTTTTTCATGCCTTTTAGCTCAACTTGATAAAGATTGATCATATATATGTGTATATAATTTATTTATGGTTGAATAAAATTAAGGAGGAAGAAAACTAACTACCTTGTTATCCATATTCATGTAAATACCAAATTGGAAAAAATATGAAGGAAAAACAAACGAAGATTAAGACTTACCAACAGTTGTAGCAGCGATGAAGAGAGGAATGAAGGTAGTGAAAATACAAAATCAATATCACATAAATAGTGCTAGAAATAAGAGAGAAAGTAAAGCACAAAAGCCAGAGAAGAAGATGCTCACAAAAAAACACATATAGGAGGCGACATATGCAGAATTAAGTGCAATTTGTCATTTTTAAGGGTTAGGCAAGAGTTTTAATTTAATTGTGATGACTGATGACCATTGGACATATTTATGTCTATAAATATTGATTATAGTTTACTGATAAGGAGTTTAGAGTACGTTAGATTTTCATTGTAACCTCAGATATTAATATTGGATAGATCATGTTACTTCTCATTTTCATTTGACTATACAAAATTCTTACTATATCAGTATTATTAACTTAAAAGCCTCATTAACTTCGATTGTTTCTTGGTGATGTTTAAATGAATCTTCCGCTTATTCAATATTCTTCTTAAAGTTTGAATGTGTTATGTTCAATTTGTCATTTTGTTAATAGGTTGGATTATCTTCTTGCCTAAGTATTTCGCACATGACTAAGTCTGAATGTATCATTGCTTTGGCTTAAGATTTTGTTTCTGTCGCAATTACATTTGATCTTTTGTTAGGTAATTTAGCAAATAGTAGTTCTTCCTTTTTCCCTGGCTAAGTTTCCTTTCACACAGTTTTTGACTTGTATAAGCTTATTTGCATTGTAATGACCTTCAGTTTCCAGATTGTGTCCATTATTTCATAAAAAACTTACAAAGGTTTACTGACATAAATTACATCTCGATAAAGGTATGAAAATAATGTTAAATCATATATTTTCTTGGGTTTTATATAGCGGTTCCATATAAGTTAAAATTTACAATACTCTTTTCTAATGAAATACAGAAAATCTACATGCTTTGTATATGCTGTATAATTTTAAACTAGAAGGACACCAGACATTTACAGGACTCTATTGAGAAATGAGGCTGGTAATATGAAGTGATTAAGTTGCCGCTTTGAGGAAAGCTCTTCTCAACCTCAACGGGTTTCACTTTTCAGGACAAGGATCTGTGATGTATCTTAAGAATGGATTGGTGGACTTTAAAACCTTCAGATGGCATCACTTGACAATTATGTGAAGTTCATAGCAAAAAGTTTGGAAAATGAAATGTTGTGCCTAAATAAGATATGGAGGGAGACTGTATACTGGTGAGCTTATACAAACTTATGTGGGCTTTCTGTTAAGCATAGTCATAATTTTTTCAATCTACCTGTCTATTTATTAAATAAATAGCATTTCTTTTAATTAATCAATATGTATGGTCTTGGATCATCAATAATGATACATTGCCATTTCCACGACTTAAACTACTTATTTGATATATTTAAACTACTTCTCAATTTGTATTTAACTTAAAAAATGACTGTGATGGAGGAACTGTTCAATAAGGCTGAATGCCTTTTTGACCTCTGTTTATACTTTATAATATGGTGGGATTTATCATGAGGAGGTGCATTTATGGAATTTTTTTGTCAAGATTTATGGAGATTAAAGATATATAAATGCAGAAGGAAAATGCATCACCCATTACATGCATTTAATAGCTTTAAAGATTTAATGTAAATGGAACGTTTCATAGTAATCTCATTCTTTGTTGAAATGCTCATATTTCCTATTGCCAAGGCTAAATACTCCGTATTGAGGATATTAACCAATTCGTTTTTTTTTCTTCAAAGATAACTTTATACTATAAGTTTAAATATTCTTCCTCAAGTATTGTCTATGAAGAATGAAAAGACATCTCCTTTGGCAGGCGTGGACCTACATAACGGCAATGAGGATCATTGTAAGGCAGGGTACTTAGGACCATATTTTAATAGGTTGCCTAGAAGTTGAAACATTTGCACGCCCTCATACATAGGTTGTGTCATGTATGGTGCTTGAAGGACCAAAATTGCACTCATAGATATCATTGAAAAAAAATTGAGATTTTATCAATTTATAGAAATTATTTATGTTTGGCTACTTATGATATTTTTATCTTTCCTATTTTAGCTAAATTCATTAAAATACAATTTAATAATATTTTTAATGTGGTCCAATTAAAATTTTCATCTCCAAAAGTGAAATTGTTAGTAGTTCCCTTCAATATAAATAGTTGTACTTTGCTTTTTACTTATTAATATTTGCCATATGTTCCTAATGTGGTTGCAACTTGCAACATCAAAAAATAGAGAAGTAACACCCTTTCATTTTGATAGAGCACCATTCTCATTCAAGTTTTTACCCTCCAATATTTCATTCCTTTTGGACATATCAAATCTACATGAGGAGAGATCTCAAACGAACAAAAAATAGTCGGGGTTTAAAGTGATTGTGATAACGACAGGTGGTAGACATACAGTGGTAATGGTTTCTCCCCACAAAGATTTGTGTATATTCGTGGATTTTACATGTATGTCATAATAAGATTTCTATATTTCATGAATAGAAAAAAAATACCTATTCACTTTAATTTTTTTATATCACATCAAAAGATAAAAATAAAAAAGTGTGTACCCGTGTCAAGCAACTAAAAGAGTAAATTATGAATAGCTTATACCAAGAAAATAAAAAGAAATTTCTCTTCTTTATCTTTCTCCTTTCTTTTGTGAAACCCAACATGATATAAAATAACAAGGTAAACAATTAGGTATATATAACCTATTTTTATTATTTTTAATATTCGAATATTAGAAGATCATTCCATAAAGAAGTTTTTCCTAAACCGCGCGAAGCGCGGCAAGTTCACTAGTACCGCAAAAAAATGGAAAGGCCAAAATGTGAAAGATAGCAAAAATGTGAAATACAATAGAAACCGCTAGTTGTCCTAGACAAAATACTATCAAACTAGTCAGCACAACGAGGAGAAATGCTCGACTACCCCCTAATCTACAACCCTAATGCTCGACCTCCACACCTTCCTATCAAGGTCCATGTCCTCAAAAATCTGAAGTCACGCCATGTCCTTCATAATTACCTCGCCCCAATACTTCTTAGGCCGCCCTCTACCTCTTCTCGTACCTGCCAGATCCAACCGCTCACACCTCGTAATCGGAGCATCTAGGCTTCTGCTCCGCACGTGCCCAAACCATCTAAGTCTCGCTTCCCGCATTTTGTCATCCAAGGGAGCCACGCCCACTCTCTCCTGAATATCCTCATTTCTAATCTTATCCATCCTAGTGTTCCCGCACATCCATCTCAACATCTTGGGTAAATAAAAAGGCAGAATACATAAGCAGACACTTTAACTATCACAGAAACTTCACTTGAACACCTCAACTAAGCCATTTTCCATCGGAATACTTCTACTATACCTTTACTACACCATGTTAACACGTCCAACCTGAGCATATAAAAACAATTCACACGTGTTATTATGCGCTGCCAGCATGGATAATCTAACCATTGAAAAAATTCCACATTTTTTACAATGCCACATAGACTTCTTTGCCGGTAAAACCAAATATAATTATGTAACGATCTGACTTGTCATTTTAAGAATTTACGCCCCGTTCAGTGACTTAAGGTCTCGAGCAGCTTTGCAATATGTATTATGACCTGGGGGTATGGTCGAGTTTGATTTACTGAAGATTCGGAATTTAATTAAAAGAACAATCCTTATTTAGAAGTTTAAATGGAAAGAGTTGATCAGAGAGTTGACTTTTGAGTAAATGACTCCTGAATAGAATTTTGATGATGTCAATAGCTCCGTATGGTAATTTTGGACTTAGAAGCGTGTCCGTAAAATTATTTGGAGGTTCGTAGTGGAAGAAAGCTTGAAATGGCGAAAGTTGAATTTTGGAAAGTTTGACCGGGGGGTTGACTTTTCGATATCGGGGTCGAAATCTGATTCTGAAAATTGGAATAGCTTCGCTATGTCATTTATGACTTTTGTGCAAAATTTGAAGTCATGCCGGATTGATTTGATATGTTTCGGCACAAGATATAGAATTTGAAAGTTCAAAGTTCATTGATTTTGATTTGAAGTGCGATTCGTCGTTTTGATATTGTTTGATATGATTTGAGGCCTCGAGTAGGTCCGTGTTATGTTATGAAACTTGTTGGTATGTTCGGACTGGGTCCCGAGGGCCTCAGGTGAATTTCGGATACTTAACGGATCGAATTTGGATTTGGATGAGGAGCTAAAGCAGCCGGGCATCTGGTGTGATCGCACCTGCACGAAAAAGGGCAGCAGGTGCGAACTCGCGGATGAGAGGAATGATTTGTAGAAGCAAAAATGCATGGGCTAGCCAGGCACCGCGGGTGCGAAGAAATCATCGCGGGTGCGAAGACCGCGGGTGCGAAGAAATCATCGCGGGTGCGAAGACTGCAGGCACGAAGAAATCATCGCGGGTGCGAAGACTGCAGGCACGAAGAAATCATCGCGGGTGCGAAGACCGCAGGCGCGAAGAAATCACCGTGGATGAGAAGACTACAGGCACGAAGAAATCACCGCGGGTGCGAAGACCGCAGGTATGAAGAAATCACTGTGGGTGCGAAAATCCTGGACAGAATGTTAAAAACAGAGGGGTTGCGAGTTTTGCCATTTTTGGTCCTTCAAGCACGGTTTTGGGGGCAATTTTGAGAGAGAATTCAAGGGGAACTTGAGGTAAGTCATTTGTGATCATTTCTACTCCATAATATTGAATTATCATCGTCTAATCTGACTAGATTACATGTTTTTTAGGTGTAAATCAGGGGTTTGAACTTAGAGATTTGAAAATAAGATTTGAAGATTTGGAGGTCGAGTTGAGGTCGGATTTTGGTAAAATTAGTATGGTTAGACTCGTGGTTGAATGGGCTTTCGGATTTTGTAACTTTTGTTGGGTTCCAAGATGTGGGCCCCACGGACGATTTTTGAGCTAATTTCGGATTTTTGTTGAAAAATTAGTATTTTCTTATGAAATTAATTCTAATAAATTTTATTGATTGAATCGAATTATTTGTGGCTAGATTCGAAGTGTTTGGAGGTCAATTCAAATAAGAAGGCGATTATGGAATATTGGTATAACTTCAAAAGGTAAGTATCTTGCCTAACCTTGAGTGGGAAAAATTACCCCTTAGGCATTGAGTCTTATGTGTAAATTGTGTAATTAAAAACCATGTACGCGAGGTGACGAGTACGTACTTGGTTTATATGTGCAAATTACATTGGTTAAAATTTTTAGACGCCCTTATGTATTAAGTTGGAAATTATTGGTACTTATTAAATCCTATATTTGTCATGCCTAGATCCTTGTTTGTTGAAATTATTTTTATATGATGATTTGGTGTGATTGCCACCTTGAATTTATATGAAATATTATTTTATTGAGTTGTTCACTCCCGGATATTTTTGTTAAGATTTTGTTCACATTATGTCGAGCCATGGGCTTCTTATTGTGAAAAATGATGTATTGTTGATTTCTGTGATATGTTGTAATATTTGAGCACTTGATGAGCCATTTGTGATATGTTAGTACTTGATGTGCAGTTGTTGAAATCATATTTACTTTGGGACTACAGAACGGTATTCCGGGAGATCCCCCTGCCCTGCATATTTACTTTGGGACTACAGAACGGTATTTTGGGAGATCCTCCTACCTTGCATATTTACTTTTGGGACTACGAGGCGGTACCTCAGGAGTGCCCTTTTGTTGATATTTTTCTATGGATGCACTTGCCTTTGGTTATTTTGTTTTTCCGTGATATGTAACTTCTTGTGTTCTTCCGTGATGTATTATTTGATTTTATTATGTGTTTTGTATTCCTTGTTGTATTGTGTTGGTTTTGGCTCTTTGTACAAGATTCTGCATATTTGTGTTTATGGTTTTTACTGGTTTTAGAGAATTGAGTTGTTTCGAATAAAAGAAATTACTATTATATTTTAATTTAATAAATTTTATATCCAAATTAGTAGTCATCGGATGCTTCATTTTAATTGAAATGTCATTTTTTTCACCCAAACGAGTTCAAAAATAAACTCATTTCTTGATGATTTCTCACTTGGTTTAAAAATTGTAAACTTACTTTATTAAAAATAAATTGCTCGTGCGGTTGTGATATAGAAATTGGCATGATGTGCCGTGAAAATATAAAAGTGGGTTGAGACCTGTATTTTATGATTTTGAAATGTTGTGTCACAGGGTGACTTTTATTGAAAGAGATTTATTTGAAAGAACTTTATTTGAAAGATATTTATTTGAAGGAAAGAGATTTGAAAGAGATTTATTTGAAAGAATTTTATTTGAAAGTATTATATCATCAAGATTTCTATTTGAAAAATATATAGGCGAAAGATTTATATTGGAATGACTTAATTAATTGGTTGTACTTATATTTATTATTTGTTGCACAATATTTATGGTGTTCTTGTCGCCCTGCTGTTTATATTTCTGGTTGATTATTATTGCCATCATTGTTATTTGTTTCCTATTATTTTTGTATGCTATATTACACAGGTTATTAGGCTAGTGAGTGTCTAGACTGTACCTCGTCACTACTCCACTGAGGTTAGTCTTGATACTTACTGGGTACCGACGGTGGTGTACTCATACTACACTTCTGCACATATTTGTGCAGATCCAGGTATAGGAGATATCGGCCTTGAGCAGAGTTAAAGCGGGATCGTAAGGATTTAAGGTAAAGCTGCTTGGTCGTCGCAGTCCCTTAGAGTCTTTTGATTTCATTGTACTATTAATTTGTAATCAAACAGTATTGTATATTCGGTCCTCATGATCATTCCATGTACTCAGTTAGAGTTTGTGACTCAGTACTACCAGTCTTGGGAGGTTGTATATTTATATTTGTTCCGTTGTTAGTTTTGATTACTTTTTTTTTTAAAAATGGCTTCAAAAATATAATTGTATCGGCTTACCTAGTCTTAGAGACTAGGTGCCATCACGACGCTTGTGGTGGGATTTTGGGTCGTAACAAATTGGTATCAGAGCACTAGGTTC